GTAAAGAATACTGGGAAGTCGGATGTTTGAAGGAATCAGCACATGTCCTAAGTTATGAAGGTCTCCTCAGTAGGCCTAGCATAGAAATAAATACCATGTAGGAACCATTGATAAAAGTATATACAGAAAAATGACAGTGAAATAGTAGCAGTAAAAATAAGAGAAGCCATGGTGACTGTAATCGAACATCACAGCAGCAGAAGCAGCAAGCAGGATAGAAGTTAAGGGTCTAATCTCTAGATACAGGGTTAAAGCATTGGTTCATAAATTTGTCGACATAGTAATTTTGAGTTCAATCCCTAGGCTAGATAGTACAGACTTAGTAGAAACAGGGTGAGCAATAACTGAGTGACTATAAATAGTAGAGGGAAGATAGATTCATGCCTTTTCCAAGAGAAGTAGTGCAAAAATGAACACAACAGACTAGCTTGGAATTTCAATTGTTTTTTTTTTTACAATAATGTTCACTCTTTACAAAGCCCAAGAGCTACTCGAGATAGAGAGTTATAGAGTAAGAGGTACAGTTTATGGGTATATACAGGAAGATAATGGTTAATCCTCTATTGAACAGGTTAAGTACTGATCTTTGGTATTGGTTCCACAAAGCAGCAGTTTGTGCTCAAGTGGAACTTAAATCTCACCAAGCTCATAGATTAAATAAAGGGTTCAGTTCAAAAATCCTTCAGGGTTACCCAGCTTGACAGGCACCTAGAGAAGAGCACAATTGCTGAATTGTTGTGATAATACCAACAAAGATGAAAACATTAGTTTGATTATAAATAATGTCATAACCATAATATTTTATTAGTTATTGTTGCTAATATCTTATGGTGACTAATATATTGTCAGATTTATGAGAGGTGTATATATATATATATATATATATATATATATAGTTAAAGATATGTAGGATTTGGTTTTATCTGTGTTTTCATGTATCAGTGGCAAAGATAAGTAACACATTTTGTGGAATCAGTCATGATATCAGTTATAGTTTGCACTTCAGGAAGATTTGCAGATGCCTGGAATGGCAATAAGAGAAATACATCATATGATGCCAAGATTTGGTTACCATAAAAAAATAATTAGAAAATATCTAAGAAGTAGTAGTTACTAGTCTCAAGAGAAGTTGAGAAAAAATATGGGTAGTTAAAAAAAAGGCAAGTTTTGTTAATTTTCTTTCAACACAAAGTATTTGAGGTGTCAAAGAATAATCAGGATTTAAATGGAGGAAAATGAGATAAGAATTTATATTAAATATAACTTTTATTGCAAGTGTGATGTAAATGAGTGAAATTCTTGTGTACCTTTGGACACTTTCCTATCTGTAGCAGACAATATATCCAAAGAATTTATAGCATCTAACTTTAAAATCTTTTGGTTGGATCAATCCGAGACCACAATTTTCATGTGATTTATCCAATAAAATTCTCATGTTAATGAACATTATTAAAACCTGACAAATTTTATTTTTTTTACATATTCTGGTATTTCTAATATAACCAATTGTGAATGGTGGAAATTTAATTTTTGTTCATGCTATTTAAAATAACATACAAGAAAGAAAACCTAAGAGAAAAACAGATTGAAAAAAGGTTTCATTAATTGCTTTGAAAATTAAATCAACAGCAATATTTTTAAAATGATATTTCAGCTGCTCCTACTTTGAATTTGCACCAGTTTTCAGTACCCACTGTATCTTAAAGTTGAAATCTTTAATGCACATAATGAGGAAAGAACATTCTCTTTCACTTCCAGTAGCTCCTTGCATCTTAGTGGCATTATTGCCCTGCTTGGGGGTGAAAAGATTAAAAAGAAATTACATTATTTTTATTTACTTTTATTATTATTTATCTACTTTTTTATTTACATATCTAAAACTATATTTATTACATTGTGTGTATGTATATGTGAGCACACACACATTTTTATATATATATATATATATATTGCATGTGCAAATGGTGTTGTAGATAATGGCTAGGAATGATAAAACTGACCGAATTTCACTCAAGTTTGTTATTTATGCACAGATACTCTTGGGCAAGGTTTGAGTTCATCTCTTCTCCCCAAGCTATGGGTAAATAGAAGAACAAACTGTGCACTATAGCATTGGTTGGCAACCAGCATTGTAGAAGGAAAACTGAATCTAAACAGTCCTGTAGAGTTTCAGCAAAAGGTAGAGGAGCTTCTTATAGGAACAAACGGCTAGCATGCAGCTAGAAGATGAAAGGCTCCTATTCAAAAAGCCTGCAATTATAGGATCATCTAACATGGGACCCAGAGTGCACCAGTACAGGGAATGGTGCTGTAATGGAGTGAGTGTGCATTGCAAGGCACAGGCAACTGACCACTGTAAACAATTTGTTTGAACAGGTTGTTCAGTAAAAAAAAAGAAAAACAAACAAAAAAACTTTATAATTTACTGAACCCTCATCCATCATTCTCAATCGGAGAATCCATTCATATCTATAAAAGGATATTCATATATACTTAAAAATATTACAAACTCATATGTGCAACTAACTGAGATATGCATATGATTATGTTGGACTCTGCTGATGATACTGACACATAATGATGTAATAATTCAGTTTAGAACTTAACTATGAGATTCCCTACAGATGATTCAATTAGAGCTGTGAAGTCTTGTGTAGAACAAAGTCATATTTTTTGGAAGCATTGATAACAAAGATAGTGCACCGTGTGCTACAAAGTCTCCAAATAGCCCTCTTCAAATTTTAATTCAGAATTTTCCTGCTGTCAAACTGTCTGCTACAAAAGTCTGGTCTGCTGTTTAACCTATAGCTGGAGCAAGATGAGTTTATACCGTTTTCAAGAGAATTAGCATGAAGTGAATGAAACAGAATTGAGTGGAAATGGAACTTAGCTTAATGATTTCAGTTTTCACAACACTGAGAGCCATTATATTAACCACACACACACACACACACACACACATAAAGTGGACACTGAGGGTCATCACCCAATGTTGACACACTGTTTCATGCTTAAATGCAATCATTAGGCCATATGTTGTGTTTTGGTTTGACTATATAAATTTTTCTGTCATTGATAGGTTATAAATAAAGCAAAAGTGCTCTACTGTTTATAAAAAACTAAATGTAATAAAAATATAGTTTTAAGGTATAAAAGTTATGTTATATTTATGGGCTAAAGTATCCAATATCAGGGATAGAGCATATGTAAATATAACAGAGGACATTGAGGTCAAAACCCAGCATCGACAGTGTTTCATTCTTAAATGCAATTACCAGGTGTGTTGTACTTTGGTTCAACTATATATATATATATATATATATATATATATGATCCTGAAAAATTATTTCGGTTGAGCTCTCTGGGAAGGAAGTGTGAGTTTGTAAACAGTAACTATTACTGCTACTAATGCAATACTCTTCGATAAAACGAATCAAATTCTCTCAGTTACTGGTATGTTCATCTAAAAATAAATATGCTTAAATTAACCTTCATCCCTGCCATGTGCCAACAGCTTAGGGGTAGATTCTCTGACTGGGTTTTGATCCTAGCTACAGTCAACTTGATGTCTAGCCACACTAGATGATTTGATGAGCTATGATACAGTGAAACAGTCTGTCTGTGGATGACAATATATTTTTCCTCACTCGTAGCATGACTGAGAGTTTCATACACAATGAGGTTATTCAGCACCTGAAGATTACATTGTGCATCAAAGTCCTAATATATATTTATTAATATATACTTAATAGCTCTGTTATATTACATTGAACACCATTTTGTTAACACCAGCACTGTATGTACGAAATTTTTATATATATATATATATATACACAAAAAAAAAATGAGAGAAATTTATACAAACATATTCTTATTTAGCCTATCACTCCAATTATTCTGTCTTGACAATGTTTCTCTTTCGCATATGTACACCTTGCACTTTCATAAATATAATATATATATATATATATATATATATGTTAGAGGTTATATCTCTATGTATGGCTTGAACTCATGCTTACAATGAAGCCTGTCATTCAAGGACAGCTAGCATTTTAGTCTGCTCCTTCATTTGGTCAATAAGTTTGCCAACAATTAGTGCTGTTTATTTTGCTAATGGCTCTTTACTGGAAAAGAGATCGATAGGTCAGAGAATAAGTGCATAGACTGGGAGGAAGTTGTATGCTGACCATTTGTCCGTTCTTCTGTATTGTGTTTACAATTAGGAAAAAGACAAACATGGTTCTTGCCTTGGTTTCAGGCATTAATAAAATAACCAATCATTGATTTCCGATCTATGACTATTTTGTTATCAATCAATTGACTATAAAAATCTCTTCAAGGGAAAGGCTTGGTTTATACAGTCTTCTATTTATATTTTTAAAACATCTGATTGTATTTGCTGATTTACTACTTTTGAGATACAAAAAGCAGGATATACAGTGTCCACTAAGTCTTTAGACAACTACAAAAAGTCATTACAGAAAACTTTTATTTTTGTAGCATATTAATAAGTTATTAAAGTTCTTTTAATGATATTGTTAGTTTTATTAATGTTATGTTTTTATGTTTCAGGTCACAATTAAAGAATTACATAGACAAAAATTAAGTATGGTTTAGATGTCCTTCATGCAACTAGTGAGGCCCATATAGAAATTTATTAACTATTTGTATATAAACTTCACTATTTACTTCATATTATGTAAACATTTCAACAGTATCCACTTTCTTTTTTAATTTTAATTTTTTTGTTTAGCAGCATATCAACACCTCTATGGGTTATTTAATGCTGAAATCTAAATATTTTGTATGTAAAGATAATGATTTTAGTGATACAAGTATTACTAATTAACCCATAGCTGGGGCGAGAAGAGGTGGATTCATATATTTTCAAAGAGTATTTGACGTAAGGGAATATAATAAACCCAACGCAAATTGCAATTCCTCTGTCAGATTAATAATTCCAAGCCATTATCCATTACACCACCTGCACATCTAAGCTTACAACACCTGCTATTCCCAAGCTGTCATCCATCTAAGTACTAACCAGACTCGACATTGCTTAACTTCAGTGATTATCTGGGAACTGGTTTTTCAACGTGATGTGGCAATAAGTGTAATTTTAGTAAATTTTTCTGTTTGTCTAATGACTTTGTAGACACCATGTATTATGATTTAAAAAGAATTTGATAACTGTCTATATCTCAGAGATGAGATATGATGATTGCTTGCATTATTTACATTATTTGAACTGTTATTCTCATCTTCAATGCCATATTCACTATGTATCCACACTTTATGCTTCAGCCTTCTTCAGGTGATTGGAATCTACCCTGGTGGATGAAATAAAGGGTTCAGTTCAAAATTCCAATCACCTGAAGAAGGCCAGAGCATACAGTGGGCAAAATGTTGTGAATATGGCAATGAAGATGAGGATAACAGTCCAAATAATGTAAATAATGCAAGAATTTGATAACATTGATAATTTTAAGTAAATGTGAAAATGTAAACCTTTATGGCAAAACTAGTCAAAAGCTTCACAGAGGGTATTTTTGAAGCCTGAGATATTTAAACTGATATATAATGTTCATTTAAGTACTGACTCATTATTAATATTTTAAAAAGCATTCAGTATCATTAATATTAATTTGTAATAATATTGTTGAAAGCAAATCTGAAAATGTAAACCTTCATGGCAAAATGAGTAAGGAACGGAAGAAATTTCTCAGAAGATATTTTTGAAGGCCGAGATATAGAAACTGATATACCAGGTTTGTTCATTAAGTATCTATCCATTTTAATATTAAACAAAAAATTTCCTCCCTCAGACAATGGTACCTTAGTTCCCTCCAAAGCATTCATTTAATGACTTCATGTACTTATCAAAGCATGTATTCTACTTTTCAAAATAATTTGCAAAGCTCTCTTATGATTACTAGCAGCTGCTTTCTCAGATTTTTTTTTAATATCATCCATAGTCTTAAATTGTCCCTTTTCATTAGAGATTTTAGTTTTGGGAAAAGCTGAAATTTACATGGAACAAAATCTAGTCTCTAATGGGAGACATGATTTGAAAAACCTGAGTGATGTGATATTTTTCAAAGATAAAAAAAACATTAATACAATATATAAGTCCATTAAAGGTATTAGACTGCCATCTGTTGTGTCCATAAAAATAAATAAAAATTAATTGTAGTGTCAATAAAATAATTATAACAATTAAAATTATCATTAATTCACTCATTCTAAACTAATGAGTATTGACCCCACTTTCCCCCTCTCCACAGAAACACATGTCATTCTCGCTATTGGAGAAGCAGTTCACATGGAATTATCATTGACAAATGTGTCAACAAAAATTTCATGTCCTTTTCCTTTTTCAGGCCATAATAGTAACATTTATCTTTTAGTACTCAACAAAATTCGAGGTATGAGAAACCCAGACACTTGTATTTTTTTTTTATTTAAATTATGTGGACATTCATTACACACATCTATTAAAAAGAAAAAAACAATACAGGAAAGATACTTTTTACTTATTCTTTATCTTATCCTTCTGTCAGCTTCTGATCCATATTTGATCTACATTTAACCCCAAACTCAAAATTTTACCCAGTATTACTCTCATGTTCCCAACACCATGTAACAACTAGAAAAATAATAATTGTTTTGTTGTTTTCATGTTTTGCTGTTTCTTATTTTTACAAGTATTTTTCTATATATAAATGTTAGAAATAAGTAAACGGATGGAAGAACAAATTTTAGGCAAGATAACAAAAAGACAAAATTTATTAAGAGCTAAGCTACATCTGTTAAATAACAGAACTTATTTTCATGACTCAATCTCTAATTAAACCATCTATTAACACATAGCAATTCAGTCCTCTCTTTAATCTAAGTTTTCTAATTTTGCTAAGGCTCTCATTCCCCACTGTCCTGCCATCCATTAACACAAGCTATGTGTTCCAGAAAAATCATATCTCTCTTTCTGATACTGTCTTTTTTGTTTCATTTTTCCTTAAAACTTCTTTGTTGATATGTTCAATCCATGTGTTATATAGGAATGAAGTGTCACTGCCGACATTTGAGTTTGAACATAGATTGCCAGTGGGCAATTAGATTATTTTAGTAATATTTTAGTCTAAAAGGTTAAGTAGATATAACAAACAAATTTAGTATATCATTCATGACAAAACTCTTGCATCTCAGTTAGTAAGCCAAACTTATGTAAGAACTTGATATGAAAGACATTAATTAAAAAAAAAAAGAACAGATTTTAAATTTAATAAACATGACTATTTAAATTTTGTAAATTTCTATGGCACATGAGGAAAGACAGGTTGGAAAATTTAATACTCACAAGACAGATTGAAGGCAAGAGGAAAACAATGCATACCCTACCTAGTGAGCTTCAGTAAATGGATGGAGGAACAAATTTTAGGCAAGATAAGTAAAAGACAAAATTTATTAAGAGCTAAGCTACAAAAGACAGAAAATTGTAGAGAATTATGATTGTTAACATCCTGAAGGGACATGCACATAGAAGAACCACCTATGGTAACTGTCTTGTGTTTGGAAATATTAGTAAAATCATCTAGTTGTATGGATGTCCTGAGTTCAAGCCCTGAATTAGACAGGACAGAAATATACACAGACTAACTGAAAAGGCAGATCCATATAAGCTGTGAAATCCCTTGCATAAATAGTGAACCTGACAGGTACAGGAATGGGTAAATAAAGCATGAATTGCTGAATGCTGGATGTTGCTGCTTCAAGACATAGGCAATCATGGCTCTTCAAAACTTCCTATTCGTTGTGGTCATTAGCATGTTTTTTAATTTTGCTAAGGCTCTTGTTCCCCACTGTTCTGCCATCCATTAACACAAGCTTGTCAAGTAAGTGGCTTGTTACATTCCTCTATCTCTCTTGGTCTCAATGTGTCCTGTGTAGGTTAAGTTTTCCAAACCCTCTTTCCTCATTATGCATCCAAGGCATTATCTCTTCCTGATTCTGAACCAAAGTGTTCTCTTTTTCTTTAAGACTTTCACATTGCTAACTTGCTCTATCCATGAAATTCTCAGTATCCTTCTGTAGAACTGCATTTCTATTGTCTCCAGTTTTTCTTTTCATCCGTGGGGAGATTACCCTACATTCAGAGTTATATAAAAGGATGAATATCACATAGCAATTCAGCACTATCTTTTTTTTCTATGCTAAAGAAGGCAAAAATGTTATAGAAGAAACAACAAAGGCAAAGGAAACTTATCTTCATGAACCAATCTCTAACAGAAACATTATTTTATCTCAGAAATTTTACTAGAAATTATTACTAATGACCAACTAAATGACATAAAAGATTATATAAAAACATGGCTTTAAAATTTATTTATTTTTTTAGGTGATGCATCCCTTCAGGGCATGGATGATCTCTTGTAGCTCTAAGTAATATATATCTCTTTACTATCCTCCCAATCCCTGTTCTGCCATCCAGGGTGGTAACCTGATATTTCCCCTCTGTCTCTCTTGCCTTCTATATGTCCTGTGACTGTCAAGTTCTCCAAGCCCGCTTTCCTCATTATGTTTTCCAGAAAATTCATCTATCTCTTTCTTATACTGTCTTTTTTGTTTCATTTTTCCTTAAAACTTCCTCATTGATAATATGTTCTATCCATGTGTTATCGAGGAATAAAGTTTCAATGCTGACTCTTGAGTTTGAACATAGATTGCCAGTGAGCAAACACAGGCAATCCCATTATTGAATTAAGTAGACCACATGACCATAGAGGAACCGTATATATGCAGGAAGTAGCTGACGACTAACAACTGCTTTTTCTATTCTATTCTCTATTACTATTCAAGCAAGTATTATAATGCGAGTGCTATTTGAAGGTGTCTGATACCAGTATTGTTCAATGGCGTACTATAGTTGTATCTGCGATTACAAAGGCACTATTATGATGAGCATTATGAAAGTGACAACTAGTATTCATTGACATTACAAAAGTGTTGAATGAGTGTTCGTTGACATCACAAAACCTGGATATTTTCAGCATTCTTCTATAGAACTACATGCCTTCTTTTCATTTATGAGAAAATTACCTTGCATTCAGTGTTATATAAGATATTGCACAGCAGTTCAATGCTCTTTTTTTTGTTTGTAATGAAAATTTCCCATTTCTTAATACTTTGCTTAGCTTTGGGAACACATCTTTCACTATTTTATATGCTTTCATATGTTTGTGTCACATTTTTAGTCTCTTGTTAAAATATTTCCCAGATTGTTAAATTTTTGTACTTGACTTTGACATCACAAATTTGTAGCTTGTATCTTGGGTTCTTTTGGTATATTGCCTATTGTCTTTGATAAACATCTTCTAGGTTTTTTTATGGCATATCAACCTCAATGGGTTATTTAATGCTAACAATTTTTATTGATGGTAATACTTTTTTTTCCAAAAATATATTGCTGGTAATATTTTTTAAAAAAATCTATAAATGTTTGTATTGCTGGCAATATTTTTTTAATAAGTGTTGCTGGTAATAATTTTTTCCTTCAAAAATTCATTACTGGTAATATATTTTATTTTATTTATTTTATTTGTTTTTACAAAGTATTTCTGGCATTAAAACCTATTTCTACAATTTCATAGTATTTTGACCCCAGTTTAGGAGTTAACTATTTTCCCATCGCTGAGACCCTAACAGGTGCTACAACCCCAGGTCAGAAACACCAGCAATTAAGAGGTGGTTCCACGCTTCTGATCAGAGGCCTTGCTGTTGGATGTAGTTTATCATCTTACCCAGGACACAGATGTAGTTTATCGTCATACCCAGGACGGTGATAAACATCTGATGTACATTAGATGGCATGAAGGAGAAAAAACCATCAGTAATGAGAACACACATTAGAATCATTCTTAATTATTTAATAAATTTAATTCTTTTTACTAAAAAAGTGCATAATGAGTATTATTTAGTAATTTCTAATAGTAACTCACACAAAATCATGTAATGGTTCAAATATCCACAGTAGAAGAGAACAAGTTAAGATTGTGTTATTTTTCTTGTATTTCATTTTTTTTTTTTTTTTTGAGGAAACATTTTTTCA